TGTGGTCCAAATTTCACGCTCACACCAACGAGATGATTATAACTAAACATGGGAGGTAAGAAGACTCCTTAGTTGCTTTTTTGTTTTTTTATAGAGTATATATTTGGAGTTAGCTGCAGTAAGTAAGACTGCAGTCAGAATTTTGGTACCTAAGAGTCATAACTTTGGTACCTAAGAGTCATAACTTTGGTACCTAAAAGTCATAACTTTGGTACCTAAGAGCCAGAACTTTGGTACCTAATTGTCAGAACTTTGGTACCTAATTATCAGAAATTTGATACCTAAGGTCAGAACTTTAACATCTAAGAGTCAGAACTTTAACATCTAAGAGTCAGAAATTTGGCACCTAAGAGTCAGAACTTTGGTATCTAAGAGTTAGAAATTTAGCACGAAAGGGTCAGAACTTTGGTACCTAAGAGTCGAAACTTTGGTACCTAAGAGTCAAAACTTTGGTACCTAAGAGTCGAAACTTTGGTACCTAAGTGTCAGAACTTTGGTACCTAAGAGTCGAAACTTTGGTACCTAAGTGTCAGAACTTTGGTACCTAAGAGTCGAAACTTTGGTACCTAAGTGTCAGAACTTTGGTACCTAAGAGTCGAAACTTTGGTACCTAAGAGTCGAAACTTTGGTACCTAAGTGTCAGAACTTTGGTACCTAAGTGTCAGAACTTCAACATCTAAGAGACAGAAATTTAACATCTAAGAGTCAGAACTTTGGTACCCTAAGAGATAGAGCTTTAGCACCTAAGGCCTAAGGGTCAGAACTTTAGCACCTAAGAGTCAGAACTGTGGCACCTAAAGAATCAGAACTAAAAAATTACATTCTGTGATTTGATCTTTAGGCTGTTATTAAAACAACTGTATCACGAAGTCTTACAAAACTCAAGACACATCATAAGTCCATAGAATAATTGATAAATTCTGTGACATTGACACAAAAGAGAAAATAATAGTTTCTGAATTTGTAAATTCTTTTTTTTAAAATGTAAAACGTTGAATTAACTCAAGAGGGTTTTAAAATGATTTTTTAAACGTTTTTTTTCCCCCATACGTTTTCTATGTTTCCCGTAGTAGCACTTCCGTCATAAAAGGGGGCAATTTGAAGATGATTTGAGGTGGGGGGGGGGTAGGGTGGATTTTGTCACTCTGAGAGGGATGCATTGACCATTCAAGGAGTAGCAAATGTTGGACAGCCCACCTAACTTCCTTTACTCCCTTTAAGCCGAACCGCCCAAGCCGACCTCTATCGTTCCCACTCTCTTTCTAAGCATATCATTATTATCTATTTCTATATCAGTTTTCCCCGAAAGGCCATACGTGATTCTCATTTCATTCTTGCTTTACTCGCCCCATTGGATAATGTAAAGGTACCCTCCTTGTAGCATCACGTGTGACGTCACACTATCACTCGCAAAGTTGTGTTTTTTTTTATATTTTGATAGTTGTGTTATCATTTTTTGATAGTTGTGTGTTATCATGTCCAAAGTTGTTCCATAATAGTCCAGCGCACGGCTGTAAATCAAGGAGTTCTAACACATCGAGTCCAACATTGTAGACCGGTATCCGTCGTCTTTGAGTCAAACCGTGAGCCGCCGTGTTGTTCATCAATGTGTGGCCCGTTGGTTGGTCGGTCACCCCGGCCAGGCTTTGATCTCTGTATCCCAAAGGGAGGGTCTCTATCATCAGCATGCGTCAACTTTATCTGTCCTCCATGTGGTGGTCATTCTCGATGATCAGCACACCATCTGCTTTGAGAACCAGGGGGGACGTAAAGATAACGAGAAGACTAAAAAAAAAAATGTGAATTTACTCAGCGTATCTTCTCGCTATGTTTTGTTGTACAAAACACACACCCCTCCCCCCCCCTTTTCCCCCACCATTGAATCAAGAGGCGTAGCGAGGGGGCAGGGGTGCTTTGAGAACCAGGGGGGACGTAAAAATAACGAGAAGACTAAAAAAAAAAATGTGAATTTACTCAGCGTATCTTCTCGCTATGTTTTGTTGTACAAAACACACCCCCCTCCCCCCCCCCTTTTCCCCCACCATTGAATCAAGAGGCGTAGCGAGGGGGCAGGGGGGCAGATGACCCCGGTCGTAAGCTAGTTAGGGGCGCCAAAATGTGCTTTGATATTACATTATTGGTAAAAATAATGGGTTTGAGAGTTGAAAAAAAAGAAAAGGGGGCGCTTTAAAATGGATCTTGTCCCCGGGCGCGAATCTTGTCCCCGGGCGCCAAACACCCTCGCTACGCCTCTGATTGAATCATAGACGAGAAAAAAGAGTACACACGACTATCATTCTCAGATTACGGGTATTATAGGCATATCCCCGAATCCCTGCAGGCCCGGACATTATTGAACTACTTTTAGACTCGTATGCATACGGTATATATTTTAAGGCACATAAAAGATACAGGAACTACTCAAACTACTCTATTAGAACTTGTATAACTTGAAACTTTAAAAAATAATTTATATTTTAAAATAAAGAATAATATTTCTTTTTGGTACATTACCATTCAACAAAAATCTAACTAGAATTAACTCTTTTTTTAGTAACTTCACTAAAAATAATTATTACATTGACAACATTGACAACATTGACAACATTGGCAACATTGACAACATTGACAACATTGACGACATTGTTTACGCACTCATTTTAAACATAAACTTAGCAAGCTAAAAAAAAATTCAAACATCCGTACGGCTAAGTTATTTCTGGTGTATGACTCCATGACGTTTGACCATGATTCTTTGATATTACGTTATTTTATTACTTTATTTATTGTGTACATTTCTCAGCAGTGTTGGATTGCTGATGAGTTATATATATAAATAATAAGTAGTTACCAATGAAGACACAAACATGACTATTAAAAAAAAATAACAACAACATCAAGTTAAGCATCTGTCTCGCAATTCACAACCAATTTAAAGATATACTTCACCATATATTGAACCATATTTATGATCAAAATAGCTCTTTGATCATGTAGCTCGTTTTATTTAATAATTGTAAAATATACAAAAGACTTCATTGTTCTTCAGGCCAACATCTACTTTTTAAGATCTTGGCTCGCAAGTGATGCTGACATTCGCGAGTTTATAACGCACTTAAGCATAGCTTGTGTATGAAAGAAAACTGAACATGCTAAAAAGAAATAGTGCAGTAGATGTCGTATAGTATCTGATTACATACTAAAACGTTTCGGAAACCCCCCTTCCACCCCACCACCCCCAAAAAAACAACAAAACAAAAACAGCAGTTTTAAACACCTCGGGTATTAGTTGAGGCAATGCGATGTTTCTATACGCAAAAAAATAAAACAGCATATCTGGCGCGAGCCGCCAAAAGGTCACTGTCCTGTCCGCCTACGTCCCTGTCGGTAGGCGTAGATAATATATCGACAGCAGTGCACCTTTGAAGTTGTCTACTCTGCGTACAAACACGGTCTGGGTTCAAACCCCTGACCATCCAGGCGTTAGGTAAACAGACTATTGGATTTTCTTTGACGCGTTCACGAGACAACAATGGCCGCCGCAATCCGCGAACCGACCCGGCTTGCACCATACATGGCCTGGTGGCTTTCACCGGGAACCAGAGCCTCGGTTAGAACCGTCATCGTGGGGAGGGGAAAAACAGAGTTGTCCAAACATTGGACTGGCGAATCATGTTCTGTGAATGATGCAAGTAGTCGATACGATAGATCAAAGATGCCGTCCGCATCAACAGTCGAGTACTCATAAAATAACAGGGGGGAAATAACAAATAAACAGGAGTGATAAGAAGTAAAGAGGGGCAAAAACAATTCAATACGGGGGACCACGAATAATCATGGAGGTATCATCGCAAAAGGAAGACTTTATTTATGTTCAAAATCAGCATTCAGACAGGACTAGAGTGAATTTATGGATCTAGCCAGGTGTTTCTAATTCTTACGATAATAGATGTTACATTGAAAAAATAAATAATCCAAGGATGACAGTGGAAGAACTAGAGACAAGGAATTTTTATACCGACATAAGTATATATTATCAATACATATTATATTCATATATGCGGTGAGAGTAATGTACTGCATAGCCGTGTTGTTTGATGTTATGTTTGTGGTGAGAGTAATGTACTACACAATCGTGTTGTTTGTGGTGAGAGTATTGTACTGCACAATCGTGTTGTTTGAGGTTATGTTTGTGGTGAGAGTAATGTACTGCACAATCGTGTTTTTTTGTGGTGAGAGTAATGTACTGCACAATCGTGTTGTTTGAGGTTATGTTTGTGGTGAGAGTAATGTACTGCACAATCGTGTTGTTTAAGGTTATGTTTGTGGTGAGAGTAATATACTGCACAATCGTGTTGTTTGAGGTTATGTTTGTGGTGAGAGTAATGTACTGCACAATCGTGTTGTTTAAGGTTATGTTTGTGGTGAGAGTAATGTACTGCACAATCGTGTTGTTTGAGGTTATGTTTGTGGTGAGAGTAATGTACTGCACAATCGTGTTTTTTTGTGGTGAGAGTAATGTACTTCACAATCGTGTTGTTTAAGGTTATGTTTGTGGTGAGAGTAATGTACTGCACAATCGTGTTTTTTTTTGTGGTGAGAGTAATGTACTGCACAATCGTGTTTTTTTTGTGGTGAGAGTAATGTACTTCACAATCGTGTTGTTTGAGGTTATGTTTGTGGTGAGGGTAATGTACTGCACAGGTGTCCTGTTCGAGGTAAGAAAATCCTTCCAGACGTCTGGAGAAGTCCTAGCAATGACGTAATGTGGTCACCACCTCTTCTTGTTCTTAAGGATGCACCCATCAGCCTTATAGTCGTCTGTAGATTAATTTTGAAGCTCTCGAATTAAAAATCACGTGACTCGAACTTTAAATATGTGTTTTACATCAGTGTTTCCCAACCTTTTCTATACTCTGTACCCTGTACCCTGTACTCTGTACCCTGTACCCATTTCAAAGTGTTCAACTTAGTTTCATGTTATTACCCGGTGTCTCTACAGGCGGATGTTTCCGGTGCTCCATTACGTCATTGGCGGCCTCGACCCCGAGAAGCTGTACCACGTGTACGTGGACATGGTGGTGGCAGACAGCAGCCACTGGAAGTTTCAAGGAGGGAAGTGGATCTCGTGTGGGGCGGCCGAGCCCCTACCAGCAGGTCAGTTTGACACAGAGCTCAGGGTGACTTGAACCAACTTTTAACAATGACTGATCTAATTTTTTTTTGCTCAGACCAGTTCGGTGAAAGACCCTGGTACTAACACACTCGACATCATTCATTATGATTATCACTGACGGTTTCTTAAAGGAAGAGGACACCACGGTCCCGTAGGCGGTATGACATTGACACTATGAAAATTCCTGCGTGACATGGAAAGAGTACAAAATTCAGTGAGACACAAGAAAAATTTCTAGTTCATCTACTTCTTCCTGTACTATTTCCAGTCGTCTTGACTGGATCGAATAGGCAAGGGCGAGAACAATGGGCTGACAAATTGAGCAACAAGCTTATATTTTTAGATAAAATCAAGTTAACCTTTTAGCGAGTTTAATAATGATTTTTTTCTCTTAGGATTTTGAGAGGTTAAAGTTCTTGAATTGATAAAATTGTTTCCCTTCCATCATTATTTTCCATTCACAGCTATTATTACTTTGAATTATTTCCTCTAATCTATAATCGAAAATTTTGAATGTTTCCACAATTTTGTCAGTTTATACACGTGTCCAATGCCGCATATTTATAAAAATGCGATTCGAACAATGTTTTCAATGAATTTTTTCCAAGATATTACTTTTAGCGACTTTTTAATTCTCAGCAGTTTTACCGCTTAAGTTAAATAACGATGGAGACAAACACACAAAAACTTGTAAACAATAAATCCGGCCATGACGATAAACGATATTTTTGAAATCTTCATAATCCTTAGCAATATTTCAAATATGTATAATTTATTAAATCTTGGGAAATATAATTTTTTGTTGCAGATAGAATCTAGACAAAACAAAACTAAACAACAACTAAAACATTACTAAGTATAATGTGACCTCGATTTGAAGAGATACAATCGACCCCTGACCCTGTTCAATGGTCATCCCGTCGGTCAGCACTTCTAAAATCTATTCCGCCCCTTTGTCAACTCGTCCATGATAACACCGTCGACAACTCTAGCGCTAATTTGTCTTTTCTTGTAGCACCGGACTTTCATCCATTCTAAAATTAGCTGACTGTCAAAGGAATGGCACCCACCTGACCAACCTGAAGGGTCGCTCAGACCAATCAGAGCTTTCAACTGACCAAACGGACATTGTCAGACCAATGAGAGCTATTATCACCTCTCGTTTCGTATCCGTCCAAAGGAACATCATTTAAAATGGCGGCACATCGTTCGTCTTTGTTTAGACTTAAATCCCCTTTACTCACTTAGTTACATTTGTTAATTTAATTGATTATTTCCCCTTGCCTGAGAAGTACCTCAATAAAAATAACATACGATATTGTATTCCCCAATTAAAAGATGTGGAATGGTGTTATTTGTAAAAAAAATAAAGATATTAAAAAATTCACCAGCAGAGAGGGCCCACTTGCCGTTATGCCAGCTGACACCCTGGCCTGTCCGCTATGGCCTTAAATTTCACCAAATTATTGAGATACCTAGATTGTAAATTAACCACGCAGTTATTTGCATTGAGTATCTCAAAAATTGGGCTCAAAACACATTTTGAAATCGCTGGTTTTCCAAGTTTAGTGTTTAAATTATTCTTCAACATTGGAAACACTTACGCACTTAATGCTATGTATGGCCACACCACCATACGACCGTTAGACATTGATCTGTCTACTATGAAAATAAATTGTATTTTCAATTCACAGATCCAATAGTTTTTTTTGTTTTAAATTGCTTTTTGCCATAACTAATCACTGATCATTCTTTCTCCCCGCCCTCTCTTCGCCGACACCACGACTCTCAACAGAAGGGAGAGTTTACCACCACCCCGACTCCCCCAACACTGGCGCCCATTGGATGAAGCAAGACCTGAGTTTTGGCAAACTCAAACTGACCAACAACAAGAGCTCCAAACAGAAACAGGTGATCCCCACACCCCCCCATCCCACACACCCCAACCACCCCACACACCTTTCGACCCCACACACGCCCACCCACACAACCCCTTCCACACACGACTATATCTGTGGTTATCAATAAATTGTCTTAACCTTGCAAACCCGGATAGAAAAAAAAAGCATCACCAAAACCAAATGATTACAAGGCAAACACAAGCTGTTTTAAAAGACGAACTCACTTCCATGAAATGTGGAGTTGGACTCCATGAGTTAATCCTCCAACCAGCCAAAGGGCTTTTGACACCATTCTGTCCTTTCCAATCTGAATCTCGCAACAGCTATTTAAAAAAAAAATATTATTGTTAAAGCGAAATTCCACACAATTTTGTTACATTAAAATGCCATCCTAAGACCAAACTTGATAATATATGTTACGTCGTTAAAGTCCCATGAACCAGGTTATATAACCATTTGATTTGAACTATTACTCGTATATTTATAAAAACTTACAAGGCCCATGATGTGTATCTAATAGAAAGTTATTTTTAAATATAAGAATTTAATTTATGTTATGTCCCCATTTGATTATTTCCCCTGCTTTTTTTTTTTAATCGCTCGACTCAAAATTTTGTGGGTGTCTATCTTTACGTTGGTATAATAATATGTTTATGTAAGCCAGGACAGCGCAGAATCATACTTTTTCAAAATTATATGCTTATTTGACTGATGTCCCCTGACTTAAGTGGATGTGATTCGTCACTCAAGCTCTGCCCCTGAAGCCCAAGGTGCAGCTTCCATGCCGGACCAAAGAGTCAAATTTGCTCAGTAGGAGCGCTTGTGATCAATTCTCGGCAACTGGCCGATATTTAAGTTCAAATAGTTTTTTTTTCCCTGCGTTGACGTATGACGTCACAGTTTACCGTGTGTCCGTCCACAGATCATCCTGAACTCCATGCACCGGTACCAGCCTCGCATTCACATCACCGAGGACGCCGGCCAAGGGCAGCAAGGGGAGGTCATCATCGCCCACGGCTTCGTCGTGACGCAGTTCATAGCAGTCACCGCCTACCAGAACACGGATGTGAGTTGTGCGTGTTGTCATGGTGATGCTGGTGGTCAGAGGGATGGGGGGGATAAGTGAGTGGTTTACACAGTTTCCTGCGCATATCCAGGGAACACACACCCAGTGGTGGATCCAGGGAACACACACTCGGTGGAGGTTCCATATAACGTCTCATGGGCGTCATACTTTTGTTTTATATTAGATTATACAACAACAAAAAAAGACCAAATGGGTATTTAAGCAGCCTAAATTATCTAAAGCATGCATCACTAATTCGTTATGAAATAGTTCTATACACTTCACAATAGTCTGCAAATGCACCATGTTCCCATGTACAAGACATATAATCATACATAAATAAAATATGTATAACTCACACGTTCACGTGCACTCACTGCATATTTATTTCTATTTACATTTCGTAAATCTTGCTGCACGCATCCCATGTTCCTTTTCACGCACCACATAACCCTACATAACATAGTCCTAAACGCCCATCACATATTCAGAAGTAACATTTACATTTTACCATCACGTATTTCTATAGGACATCACATATTCCTATGTACCAATCACACATTCATATGCAGTATACACTAATTAAATATTACTATGTAACCATCACATAGCCATATGTTCAAAGGACATCTTTCTTTGTATAATTTATGCACAAATAGTCTATTCTACGCTACACCATGTTTTCAGATCACCGACTTAAAAGTCAAATTTAACCCTTACGCTAGAGGGATGCAAGATAAAACCAACAGGTAACCTCCCCTGAATTAAATTCGTAGAAAATAATAACACCCGATTTACCTCTAACATTTCAAAGTGTTTGAACAACTAACTCTATTACTATTATTAACCGTGAAAATAAAAAAACACCACCACACTAAAGTAAGAAAATTGCTATTGAAATTAACCCCCCCAAAAAAAACCCAACAATTTATTTAACAAAAACTAGCTTTAAAACTTACTTAATAACACGTTTTTTAGGGGGGGGGGAGGGGGTTGGTGGTGGGGGTGGTTTGAGTGATTTACCTAAAATTTATTTTCCTTCTAGTGTTGCGAATTCCCTTTATGTGTTCCATTCATTGACACACATCTTTAAAAAAAAAAATGTATACTGGATGAAGTAACACAAATTTTATTTGGAGAAACTACAATTTCCTCTTGTCAAGCTTCAACGAATTAAATATGTCTCCCGATGACGTCTTGCACCGAAATTCATAACGTCATTTCCATTATTGCTATCATAGAAATATTTGCTGTTGCAATTTTCACTTTCTCACTTCTACCAGCAATTTTAAAAATTAAACTATTCCCTTTTTTTTGCCCCACGCTCAAAGTTTTGTAACCCTTTTAAATCAATTCTTTCAAACTGAATTGATTTAAAAGGAATATAAAACTTTATTTTTCATTGTTTCACATTTTGTTTAGTGATAGATACACTTTTTATGCACTAATCTGTCTCAATTTATGCACTAACATCTCTTAATTGCACTAATATGCCTCGTTTGATGCTCTTATATGCCTCGTTTGATGCTCTTATATGTCTCAATTGATGCTCTTATATGTCTCAATTGATGCTCTTATATGTCTCAATTGATGCACTAATATGTCTCAATTGATGCACTAATATGTCTCAATTGATGCACTAATATGTCTCAATTGATGCACTAATATGTCTCAATTGATGCACTAATATGTCTCAATTGATGCACTAATATGTCTCAATTGATGCACTAATATGTCTCAATTGATGCACTGATATGTCTCAATTGATGCACTAATATGTCTCAATTGATGCACTAATATGTCTCAATTGATGCACTTATATGTCTCAATTGATCCACTAATATGTCTCAATTGATGCACTAATATGTCTCAATTGATGCACTAATATGTCTCAATTGATGCACTAATATGACTCAGATGATTCACTGACAAAACAAACTAAAGACAACCTTCCCCAGAAAATACAATCAAAGCACTTCTAGTCATGGTGATTGTGTTGATAAGTAAAAAAAAAAAAAGAGTTTTTTTCAGATAACACAGCTAAAAATAGACCATTATCCTTTTGCCAAAGGTTTTCGGGATGGTTTGGACAGGTAAATTAGACTTTAACCCCACCCCCCCCCCTTTTCTTTACTTTCCTTTGTCGTTGTTTAGTAACTGTTTTTAAAATAAGTAATTTTGATAAGGCAATCCGTCAAAGAAATCTATATTGGAAATGGGAATGGGCTGTTATGTGGAGGCGAGGACCAAGAGTGAGTCTAAATATGCTCTCCTTAATCCTATGGCCCCGGCTAAGGAAAATAAATAACAACTTTTAGACGAGCGGTTCTTAAACTTTTTACACCAAAACATTAATTTAAACCACCTCCCACCCCACCCCAACCCCCCAACATAAAACTGATTTTCTAAGTCCTTCCCACTGAAACGGGATGCGGGCATCCCTGGTTAAGAGCCCCGGATATCCGTTAATGGGTCATTGCAATCATTAGCGGACATTCTACCAAATGTTAATCGAATTGGGGCATTATGACAACTCTACTTTTGACATGTGGTCATTTGATCGGTACAAAGAAATTTACTTTTTTATAATTTTTACTAACACAAAAATAACAAATTGTTACTAACAGACGTCGATAAAATGTATGCATTTTGTCTCTATTCCCTTCATTCCTTTCCTGTATTCTGCATTGAAACTTCTCCCTTTCTCGTTGCTTTCCTACTCTCTGCCCAACACTCACCTCCTCCCAACACTCTCACATACTCATCACCATCCAAGCCTTCCCCGTGTATTACCTCATCATTCATTCCCTCTCATCTCCCATCAACCCTTTCTTAATTCTCTTGCTCCTAAATTTTCTGCAACAATTTTGACCGACTCCAAACATCTACCTGTTAATCTCCATCTGACCACACACACTGGTAAAGTTTACTAAAAATTTGGCGTGCAAATATACGATCAAATAATTTGCAAAGACCAAAAAAAACAGAAAGCAAAAAGCTTTCTCTAGATTGACAGAGTTATAATAGCTCACCATTATGTATATCAAATTAAATCCCTTTTTTAATCCCCAATATCCTAAACTTTAACTAATCCCATGCAGTGTAATTTAAACAAACTCATATGTATTATATTCCACATATTATAACCGATTCCCCATTTACCTGAAAATCCTATAATCATTATCCTTGATTATACAATGTAATCTGAATTCATCCTGATATCCCTCATGCATTCGACATAACTCATTTTATTTTTTTTGTTTGTTCTTTCAAACATGATAAAGTAGGCTAGGATTTGAACCTTCCGAACCCCACACCATGGCCAGCGGATCCTGCGACCAAGCCAACGTCTCGAACAACTTTTCAGGACCGTCTTCCAATCACAGTCTTCCACACCAGAATGGCTACTCGCTGTGTGTGCCAGCGTCGTCGCTCCTGATGCCCAACAGGTCTCATTTATATCAGACGTAAGTAACTGTGTGGGCACCCACTCCACAAATCCAGTACCCCCCCCCCACATCAAACAGAACCCCCCCCCCCCCATATCAACCGAGGACGTACACAACTATTCATAAGATATAAAAACTGTTTGTAAATGATAACTTAATAAAAATAATTTTTAAAAAGAGCAAATAATAATCTTTAAAAAAAAATTAAATGTATCATTGCTCTACAGGGCAATAGAGAAATAAAGAGTTATTAAAACACGAAATGCAAAAGATTTGAAGTAAATAATATATTTAACGAAACAATAACAATTCTCAACGTATAGTTTTGGTATATGGTTTCGTCACGTCCACGTACACCGTTGTGCATAGCAAGCAACTTAAAATATTACTTTAAATTGTACAGTGTATAAAAAATAATTTCCGGTTTTGCGATGTTTCATTACGAAACAAACCTTGAGGACGAATACAAAATTTTAATTACGCCTGATTTTTTTCCCCCTATAACTTATTAATCCATTTTCTTCAGGACAAACACAGCCAGCCTGGCCTACCCAACCTCTGATATCTTTCACACACCTTACAAAACTGGATCCTTCGATATAGGCCAGGACCAGCCGTTCCACCAAACACAGGGCCACACCGCACATACGCAGAGGCCAGACGGGTATTCAAACAATGGCGATCCCATCAACGCGAATTTGGGAATACAGTTTCTGACCAACTCTGGACACGCTTATGGCGTTTCCAGTCTAACTTTGGCGTCACTTCCTGCTGAAGATACCAAGGGAGGCCACTCTCCGAGCAGCTGCTCATACACGGGCCACGCGTCAGTGACACCACCTGACCATCAGGATTTCAGAACATCCCCACAAAGTCAGGATTTTACAACTCCGCCAAACAGCTCCACCGCCCTGGCGGCTTCACCGCCTTTAATACATCTTTCAAGGGCTCCCACATTTTCGTGTTATGGATCCTTATCTCCTGAAAATGTACCCACACACCAACGCCCTGATCCAAACGTTGGCAAGGACTTCCTCGAAACCCGCAATCATTTCTTTCACCAAGAACCAACGTCCATGATGTACAGCAGCAACAACCAGACAGCGACAGCCTACACCAGCTTGGACCACATAGAACATCCCCAATCGCCCCACCTGTCGAATTTCATAACGCAGACGACCGGAAGTAAGGACCAGGAGGAGGAGGCCGCCAGAGAATTCGGAAAACTCCAAAAAATCGCCGCTGAACTCTCGCTTGACTTTCTGTCCAAATCTCCGCGCAGCCAAACCATTTCAAGGAAACGCAAACTGGTTTCGGTTGAGGAAGGGGAGTGACACATTCGAGGATTTTTACAAGAACTGAGGTGTCTAAAATACATTGTGTGACGACCAACAAAGGAGGTTGGCATATAGATTTCCAGCTCTACTTAAGCAAATATCAACAACACATCAGCAATACAGTATCTGCCTGACCATGACGACACGGCACAGATGTCACGGTTAAAATAACGCGCCCATGTGCTCTTGTTTCATTACATGGCATTTCATGCGTTCCTGTTTTTCTACTCTCTCTCTAGCAGGGATTTGATACTCAACAAATGATGGCGATGATTGGCTACGCATTGCCACGTGACCAATACGTCTGTTATAACAGTCATGGCGACTTCACCCCTTTACATTCTGAGATAAACTTCTCACTTTTTACTCTCTGTTCAAAGACAGAGGTGACAATAAGCAGACGTGAGCTATTGTTGCCAGAATAGAAGAAATTGTATAGAAAGTTTTCAATTTTTTGCATTTTGTAATAAACGTGACGTCAGAAGTATAACGTCATCATCAAGGTCCCTGATCAGAGTGAATGAATTCAAGGACATATTTTTTTACATTGAACATCTTATTTAAGTAGATTATCTCGTATGTTAAAAGTTCCTACTCAATTGTACATATAAGTTAATAACATTCGATATTTTATGTAAAATTACACTTACATATAAACTTCATACAACACTCAGTTAAACATCATATTCCAGCATGTGACGTTATACTCCAATATAGGATATTATATTCCAATACATGACATTATACAACAATACATTCCAAAATACAAAATGCTTTCAAATGTACAAGATTAAAGTTGCACATGGATATCCTTCCCTACCGATTTTTCCTAGCCATCTGTGTCTCTTCTTTCCTTCCCTCTTTGCCAACCCATGTGTGTCTCTTCTTGCCAACCCATGTGTGTCTCTTCTTCCAACCCATCTGTGTCTCTTCTTGCCAACCCATGTATGTCTCTTCTTGCCAACCCATGTGTATCTCTTCTTGCCAACCCATGTATGTCTCTTCTTGCCAACCCATGTGTGTCTCTTCTTGCCAACCCATGTGTGTATCTTCTTGTCAACCCATCTGTGTCGCTTCTTGCCAACCCATATGCGTTTCTTCTTGCAACCCATGTGTGTCTTTTCTTGCCAACCCATCTGTGTCTCTTCTTTCCAACCCATGCGTGTCTCTTCGTACCAACCCATCTGTATCTCTTCTTGCCTATACCCATCTGGTAAAAACATCTGTATCCCTTATTGCCAACCCATCTGTGCCTCTTCTTGCCAACCATGTGTGTCTCTTCTTTCCTATACCCATCTAGCCAACCTATCTGTGTCTCTTCGTGCCAATCCACATGTTTCTTTTCTTGCCAACTAATCTGTATCTCTTCTTGCCAACCCATCTGTGTCCCTTCTTTCCTATACGCATCTTGCCGACCCATCTGTGTCTCTTCTTGCCAATCCACATGTGTATTATCTTGCCAAATTATATGTGTCTCTTCTTGACAACCCATCTGTGTCTCTTCTTGCCAATCCACATGTGTATTATCTTGCCAAACCATATGTGTCTCTTCTTGACAACCCATCTGCGCCGCGTCTTGCATAAACCCATCTCGCCTATCCATCTGTCATTGTGATTACCAACTTACCATTTTATCTACCTTGTCACCAGTGCTAAGATGTAATTTACTATTTATATAAAAAATGTTCCATTTTATGTTTTTAGAATGTTTATTGGTTATAGTTTACTCATATAAAAATGTAACATACTATTGCTAGAAAAGTAGAAAATGCACAGAAATTTTATAATCTTTACATTTAGATATTTTTAACAATATATTTCATTTAGTCTAATAGTATGTCAAACATCTAATTATAGCAATACATTCCAATTTATACATTCCATTCTATAAATTCCAATTTATACATTCCAATTTGATCAATCATTTAACAGTATATCTTCAAGCCACCCCCCATTCCCCCCCCCCCCCAATTCCAAATCAATCTTCACTTGTTCACCCGTCTTTAATTCTACTTTACAATCCATCTGCAAATCTACTTTGCTGACCAATCGGTATATCTCTACCGGCCAACCCACCTGTGTACCTCTACTTGCCAAACCATCAGTATTTCTAGTGGCCATAGATCTATTTTTGTCAACCCACATCTTTCGCTATTGGCCAACCCACATGTACACCACTATTTTACAAACCACATGTAAGCCACTATTTGCCAACCCACATGTACACCACTATTTTACAAACCACATGTACACCACTATTTGCCAACCCGCATGTGTACCAGTATGTGCCCACCCATCTTTCGACTCTATC